AAAAAAAAAAAAAATGATGACAGAGGCCTGGGTGACTGATGGAGCTTGAAGACTGAGATGGTCCGCACAGGAGGAGGAAGAGGGGACAAGCTCTGCTTTGGTCCTGTGAGGCAAAGTGGCACAGGATAGAAACCGTGTTTAATTTTCCACTTGGACCCCTGACTCTGTGACAATGTGCAGCTCTCCAGAAAGCTCTGAAGACAAAACAGGATGGAGCATGTGGCCCCCTTATCTCCTGCCTGAGTCCCTGCATTCCCTAATAGGTAAATAATCCTGGTCCTTGCCTTTTTCTACACATAAGATAACCTCTGACGGGAGGGATTATGCTTCTGGAATGTACTCTCACGCCCAAACTTCCGAGCGAGTCTGATGATTTTGCATATACTGGGCCCCAGCACCTGTATATCTGTAGTAGGCTACAGCCTGACAAGCCCTCTCTGAAGCACTGCTCACTGTGGACCTTGGGGCACAGCCCTCAGTAAGACTCCTGAATAAAATGACTTTTAACTCTCTAAAAGTTTTCTGTAGTTAACCGTCCTAAGTGAGTTTGAAAAGCTTGTGGGACACTCAAGTAGGAATGGGGCCCAGCAGGCAGTTCGATAAATGGGAAGCTTAGCAGAGAGATCTGGGCCCAAAAATTTGATCTGAAGAGTGATTGAAATTGAAGGAGTAGCTGAGATCTCCAACAATATTTTGGAGCTGGAAAGGAGAAAGTGCATTAGAAAATGAGGAAGAGACCCAGAAAAGTGTGGTCCCAAAGACACAGGAGTGTTCTTGGAGAGGAAGACCCAACATCAAGTACATTGTGTATAGACTTAACGTAACCCTCCTTATAAGAACCGCAATGAGATTGGCTCCCGGGGCAAGATTCTTCTATCATGTTTACATAGGGGCTGGACCGAACATAAGAACTTGATAAATATTTCTTCACTGTGTGTGGGTACATTCTCCCAGTGGAATACTATGCAACTTTAATGAAGAATAGGACAGACCTGTGAGTGCTAATATAGAAAGATTTTTAAGATATATTAAGTGAAGGCCAGCGCAGTGTAATCTCAGCACTCTGGGAGGCCTAGGTGGGTGGATTGCTTGAACTCAGGAGTTCAAGACCAGCCTGGGTAAGAGTGAGACTCCATCTCTACTAAAAATAGAAAAAACTACCTTGGTGTTGTAGTGGGTGCTGTAGTCCCAGTTACTCAGGAGGCTGAGGCAAGAGGATTGCTCAAGCCTGAGAGTCTGAGGTTGCTGTGAGCTACGAGGACATCATGACACTTTACCCAGGATGACAAAGTGAGACTCTGGCTCAAAAAAACCCCAAAAAGATATATTCAGTGATATATATTAAGTAAAAGAGTGAAGTGCATGCATGTTGATGCTGTTTATGTATATTTAGGGATACTATGTGTGTAATATTATATGTAATTCTATAAATAACAGAAATGTTTTCTGTAAGCACAATAGCATAATAAATGGCACATACATAGCACTTACTATATTCCAGGCACATATTTTAACTCATTTATAGTCTTTCCTACTGTGTAGATACTACAAGTTATCCCCATTTATATTGATGGGGAAACTGAGGCACTGAGTGCTTAAGTGACCAGCCCAGTATCACACAACTAGTTAGTGGCAGAGCTGACAGTTTAACCCAGATAGTCCCTGCTTTCACCTCCCATGATCCTGACCTTTGTGCAGGAAAGCGTGAACTGAGGGCCACTAGGGTTGGGAGTGGTGGAGAGAGAATCTTGCTTTTATTTCATACTTTTGAGTATTGACGATATTATTAGTATTTTACCATACACAGTATTACTTTAATAAAACACTAACTTAAATACATGTGTGAGAGCTGGGCGTCCGGTGTACAGTGAGGGCATCACCGGGGACCTGCAGGGAGGTTGCAGTGAGGTGTGGGGGCAGGGCGGTAGTTACAACAGCCAGAATCCCTCCCTCGCTGGCTGGGTGAAAGAAATGAAGAGGAGAAACTCACTTGTTTTGCGTTTATTTAAGTTTCAGCTCTGAGAGGGCAGACAGCATTGAAAAGTGCAGTGGCCAATTTCTGACATTGGTTTCTCCAGGGACTCTTTTCTTTTTCCTTTCTTTTCTTTTTTTCTTTCTTTCTTTTTTTTTTTTTTTTTTTGAGAC